AGGAAATACTTTTTACAGAAAGTATATCAAGTGCTATTTGGAGAAGAAATAGAAGATGCAGTGATTCTCTTTGACAGCCTACGTAGAGCTCAGGCTTTCTACATGCTCACTATACTTAATTAAGATAAAACTATTTCAGGATGTTTCAAACTAAAAATACTCTTGGTAGCAAATCTTTTGCAAGTTTCTCTCAGCCTCGTTCCAGTACCTTGGGGCTATGAGTGATTCTGAGTTAATTCAGTTCACCATGGTTCCCTGCCGGTGTGCCCCAGCTTGGCATGCAATAAGTTGCTAAAAATTTCTGAGGACGTTGAGGACGTCTTGTCTTCTTCCATTCCCTCTAAGATCTTCTACTTGGGAGACTTTGTTCCAGTTGGGCTTGGAAGTAGAAGAGTAATTCATCTTCTGAGATGAGATTTCCTTTTGGTGGATTCTAGTCTTCATCTGTTTTTAGCAAAATGTCTTAGGAATTGTTTTGAAGGAATGCTCTTCTGCCTTTGATCCCTAAGGTCACAGCTGTGTTCACCGCCCCTCCTCCCCTGCCAAGCCAAGTTTAGTCACCGGGAGTCCAGAATGGACAAATTAGGGCTAATATGATGAGGGACAAGGAAATATCCAAATGAAGTTTCCAGAAGGTTGCCACATAGATTGATTTGGAGTTTGAAAGAGAGAAAGATCAGGAATTTACATCTTTACAGATCACAGCATCAGAGAATTTTAAAGATGCAGGAGTCACTAGAAAATCACTTAACCCACTGTCCGTGTGCAGCTGTGGAATCTGAAGCTCGGGGAGATTGATTTGTCCAAGAGAACATATCTAGATTTTGGAGTCATCTGCAGGTCTTAGAGTTAAAGCTGTGAGAGAAGATATTCTGAGGGAGAGTGGAGCACAGCCAGACACCCAGTTAGGAATATGCAGGAGGTGGGTTCCCAATAATGGACACCAAATATAGTGGTTGGATGGCTAGCAGGAACTTTGGGAGAATGGAATCACAAAGGCCAAGGGAGGAAAGAATTGCAGTGAGTGGATTGTCAGACAGCAGAGTTCTCTTACTTAGAAGTCAGGAATGAAGGAGGATACTGAATTTGATTATTAAAGAGTATTATTGATAAACTTTAAGAGTACAGTTTCTGCGGAGGGGAGGCAGAATGAGTAAGGGTCCTCAGGGACTGAAGACAACGGGAAAGTGTGAGGGGTGAGAGGAAAGAGCAGAGTAAGACAGTAGATGGTGAGGGCAGCAGAGGCAGTGGTAGGTTTCTTGGGAAGGCCGTCCTTGATTTTAGGTTTGAAGGGAAAGAACTGGTGTGTAGGGTAGGGGAGAAATTAAGAATGCTAGAGGTGAAAGTAAGTACAAGTGGGAAGCTGCAGAATCTGTTAATTGTCTCCTTTCCAATAACTCAACACTTACTGTGCGATTTGCTGTGTACCAGGTGCTATTCCATGTGTCTTTACTTGTAGTAACTCATTTGATTCTTAAACGTCTATGGGGTTCATACTACTATCATCTCTGTTTTATAAAAGAGGAAACTGAGGCACTGACAGGTTAATTTGTCTGAAGTCACATAACCAGTTGGTGGCACAGCTGAGATTCAAACCCACTCTGGCTCCTTGAGTCTCTGCTCTGAATCACCAAACTGTACCGCCACTCTTCCCGTTGTAAGTGTTGTTCAGAAATGCATTTAATTTCATTACAGAGGTAAACCTGAACCTGCAAATTATTGGGTCTAGAAATATTACATATTTTGTATATACTTGATCATTATAAAAATCACCCTTGCATTCATGATAATTTAAATATTCTTCCCTTTAGGTTGTGCGTTATGCGTGACTCTTCCAATGAGTTTATTAAACTTTTTCAGGTAAATATTTTATTTTTTAATTGGGCAAGAAATATGAAAATCTTCAAAAATTGTTCTTTAGATGAATTTTAGGATCTCTTTCTCTTTTGGAGTC